TGAGACAACAATTACTCATAAAGATGGTGAAGTTTCTGTTTCTGAAGGAGCCAACAATTCCTTCTTCACTTCCCAAGCCTCTCCAAGCCAATAATCTGATATGGTTATGTATAAAATTACAGTTTTCTGCATGCTTACATCCTGTGATTTTGTTATAGCATTGTTGTTTATCCTACATATGCAAACTCTATATGAATTAGTACATAATTTAGAGTGCTTACATTATATATTCTATAGAAACAAACAAGTAGCATTGCTTTACTAGGGGAGGAGGGAATAAACTTTGTAAGCAGAGTCTTATGTGTTTTCTCAGCAAGAAGCCATTGTTTTGCTCGTTCTGTGTTTCTTTCTTGTTTTGTTTTGAGCTGTTACATATGATTTGGTTTGGTCGGTTCTGTGTTTGGCTGCTCAAATTTAAGAAGCATTAAAGAGTGATTTTACTTTTCTTAAAACTAAAATCAATCCTCGTATCTTGATTGCGGAACCTTAGAATTTGTTTAAGCCAAAATTTTCAATATGATCCTAAAATATATTCAATCCAAAATTCATCTTATTTTTCCCATAAATTAAGTTGAATTTGGATTAATCAGTTTTAACATTTCAAATTTCTCTCATTGTATTAAAATTATTAATAGAAGAGATTATTATTTTAATTTTATACCCCCTTTTTTCCTCTTTTAATGAGTTTGGCCCTAAATATGAACTGTTGAAAGTGAAGAAGTAAAATAAGAAAGGAAAAAAGAGAGAGTGAAAATTAAGTTGTTAATGAGAAAAATAAGTCAATAATTATAATTGATTTGATAGAATAAAAAATAGACAAGATTTTCATTATTTATTCAATTATCATAATGCTCATATTTAGAAAATGGAATTAATACAAATGTGTAGAACACTACTGAAGAATTTTTTTAATCAGTATAGAGAAATTTAATTATAACGAATAATCTTTTATATCTTAAAATTGCATGACAAACCCATGTATTTCTTTCAAAATATTGATTGTTAGAATTGAACATCTAGGCTCTACAATATATTTATATGAAACTAGATTCTTTGTTGTTTTTTTTCTACCGAGTCCTTAAAATATTAATATATTAAAAAAGTTTAATACATTTTAAAGCCTCAAAGTTAGTGTTTATAAGTGTATTTTGAAAACCTGGTAAATCGATAATACCAAAACGTCGTCCTAAATCTAAACTCTGTTTATATATATATATATATATATATATATATATATATATATCAATTAATTATTTAAAAAATGATGAATTAGGTAATTAAGCTTAAGAAAAAGCTTTTAATTTTGTAATATGTTGTAAAGGTAATGAGCAATATTAAAAGTTATTTATGGTTGTTATTGTTGAGAGGTTTGCTAAAAGTATTATAAATTAATGATAAAAAAAATGAAAATATTTAGCATAGAAAACATAAAAAGGGACGTATTGTATTGTTAATTAATTGGGGAGGGAACCTTGAATAGACCGGAATCTCGAAGCCTTGTTTTTATTGAATCTTATTTCTTGTGGCCGTCCTTCTTTGGCATTTCATTTTTCGACCTTTATACATATTCTCTTATTATTGCTAACCATTTTCTTCACAATGTCCCAATAATATTTATGAATTTGTCACATTCAAATTATACACTAAAATATAATTTTGGAATCTTTAAACCTGTTCAAACATGGTTTTACCCTTTTTAATTTATTTATTTTAAGCCCTTTTGGTTTCAAAATATAATACTATTAGTCTTTCAAATGGTCTTTTATATTGGGAATTATTTGCATAGAATTTTTGAAAAACAATATTAAATTTCAAAATTAAAAGAGGGAGAAAAAAATTGAAATTACAATATTTTAGAAAGATTAAAAGCATACTATACTGGCAAAAAATTAACAAAATTATATATATCTATATAAAGGATATTTAACTTTTTGATGTTCACATATTTTTTTCAATTTTATCTTTTAAATATTTTTTTTAAATTAAAATAATTATCTTGTTAGTTTTACTATTTAGTAACTGTATTTTTAATATTTAACCGTTATTTTAAATTTATCTATATTTTAATTATAAAACTATATACAAAATAAATAAAACTATTTATTATATAATTATAAATTATTTATATTTAATTTTATAATAATAATAATATTTGTTATTATCATAGAAGAAAAATAAACACGCACACGTGTTTTCGCTACTATTTACTAAAGTTATACTAAATGATATTCACGTCTCCTTAAATTTTGAATAAACATTTAAGTTTTGAAATAAAAATTCATTTTGCTTAAGATCTTAATAAAATGACATTTAATGGGTTTATAGTTCCCAAATAAAAAATTTCTTTCTCATCTTTCCTTTTAGTAAATGATACTCACGTCTTGATACCTGTGTTTCCAATTTTATTTATACAAAAATAATTTATTGTTTGCAGAAATCTTTGAATTTAATTTTTTTTTTAATTTTTTAGTTACTATGATTTGGTTTTAACATTGGAGTTAACACAAATTTTTATTCAGAGGTAATTTATTGCTGCCATTATTGATAAAAAAAGTAGTTTTTGTTTAGCTGAAAATAGATTATGAATTTCTCATTCAAAGTTTTTAAGTTGGACTCTTGAAAATGATTAGTTGAATCGTTTTTATTCTAAGGTTTCTTTCACATTTAGACTCACTCACGTTTACCTCGGACAAGCTAGCAGCCACGTGCACGTAATCCAAGGCCTTTTGTTTTAATATGTTGTACTAATGTACATGTAACTACACAAATGACAATTCGTAACAACAATATTCTAGATGGTTATTAAGTAAATTATATAAAAAATTATGTGTAAATAAATGTCTAATGTTTTAAAAAATTTCTATAATATCTTTTATTAGTAAGATGTTAAATTATATAAATATAGATGTAAGAAATTCTTTGTTTTTTTACAAAAGAAGAAAGACATAAAATAGAACAAAAATTATAATTATGTTGTATTTATGCTTTGAAATATAAAAAAAAGGCGGTTTCTTTCCTTTTTGAAATGTTTTCTCACCGTTAATAATAGTAATAATCCAATATTTACACCAATCAAATTTAAACCGGGTACCTAACAGTTAAAAGCTACTACAAAATCTAATTAAGCTACACATATCTGAAGTGTTACTACGTTTAAAGTTACATATAGCATTATTCATATTAAATTTTGGCATGATTTATTCTATATTGTATACTTGTTATTCTAGATATTAATATACTATATTGTATATATTACTTTTTTAGTTTGGATAAAATATACATATTATAGATGCAATTTTATGTGTTATTATTTGTTTTTGTTTGAGGTGAATGCAAAAATTTCACCCTTAATGTTAACATTTATTGGCAAATATGATTCTAATAGATTATAAAATAAAGCATCTTTAATTAATTAAAATCATATATATATATATATATATATATCTTAAAGGTCATATTAAAAATTTAATTTTAATTTACTATAAGTAATATTATAAAATATGTTGATAGGAATTTTCTTATGTTTTTTGCGATCGGTTAGAATAATCTATTGGATTGTATTTTTAATTATCCAATTAAATTAAGTCAAGTTGAGTGCGACTTTAGCTAATATAAGTGTTTTATATTACTATATTCATTAATTAAGATATATTTACATTGGTAAAACATGATGATCATTAGATTGTAAAATTATGATTTTAAACATGTAGTATCAATCTATGAATATTTTTTATATAAGATCTGACAGTTTCAAGTTAAAGAATGAAAACTAAAAAAAAAAGGAGAAAGTTCTTCATTTGGGCTAGATAAGCATTGACTATATATTCTATCATGAAAGAAGAATAACCACGTATTAATGAGATCAACACTGTGGAGGCAATTATTCTCATGAAAAATGGAAAAAGTTCAAATCATCTCTATGTAACATTCATAAAGACCTAAATCTTTGTTGAAATTCAAGTTTTTGTTCAAATCATCTCTATGTAACATGATAATGTGAAGAATTTATTGAAGGTTATAGATAAATACACATGATAATTAGCACATTGAAAGCTTTCCTTAAACAATAAACTCCCAAAAGAATTAGACATTTAATCAAATAAAAACCAACTCTACATATATTTAATAATCAATACAATTATTAAATCCCCAAAAGATTCATAAGAGCTAATACCTTATAATACCAACTCTACGTTTAATCATATAAAAACCAAAACCAAAGGAATACAAACCTTTAACCAGTGGTAGAAGATGTAGAGAGGTGAGAATGATCAGCACAAAACAAAGTGATGTGAGACTAATGACATAAAAAAAGTTACTATACCAGTTATAAGTGACCTGTAATAGTATCTTTATGCTATGCCAAATTTAATTAAAATTCATAATAAACTTGTAATTTATTATAAAAGTATCGTCGTTTCCCTTATCATAAAAAGTAAATTATAACTTAGTGAGAGAACTATTTCTTCGTTCAAATCATTCTAATTACACCATTCAAGTTGCATTATTTATTTTAATATTTGATAATGTTATAATGTTATCTTCAGAAGATCATATAAATAAATTAGCAAATATATATTGGCGGTGCAAAAATAATAATTTTATCTAATTTGAATAACGGAAAATGTTTCACATGAGATATGTAAAAAATGACTGGAAGATTGGGGGGTTCCGGCCTGTCCAAAGTAATGCATTGTTCTAATTGCTGTTGAGTAGAATAAACAACTATAGTTGTTTTGCATCAATGAATTAAGAATGTCTGTCCATAGTTTCTCTGTGATGCTACAATGCTTGATACTTTTCATAGGTCAGAATGTACTTAGACAGAAATCATGTCCTAATGCATTGAGAAATTCGCTTTGTACGAGGACACAACTATGTCTGTATACATTGTTAACTTTTCCTCACACTGTTCATCCCTTACATATTTTTATTCTCCCACACGTCCTTTTATTTTAAATAAAAACTATTTGAAGTCTTGTATAGGTAGAGACTGTTAATACCTTTTCTCTTCTAGCATATAAATGAGCATCACAGAAATGGAGTAACTAAATTTCGGCAAGAGTTTAGGTGTTTTAGGTTAGGTTTTGAGAGAGTAGAGAAGCATGTATCAGTGTAGTTCCCAAATGTACGGAACTGATTGGGAATACATGGGGATTAGCAACCTAGCCAAGGTTGTTGGATCAGACCAAATGAGTGTTCTTGAGCCAAAAAGCTCACCTTTCAACATTGTCACCACTCCTCTTCAAATTCAAACCCCACAAGGCTTTTGTGCAACTGCAACAAAAGGGCTTGTGAGTTTTCAAGCTCAACAACATGCTCATCATCAGCATCAGATCGAAGTTCCTGCTTGGTGCTTTGACTCTAACATGCTGAATATTTGCCAAGCCTCTGGGGATAACTTTACCACCAAACAAGATCCACCCTCGTCTCAATTCACAAGCTCCTTGTGCCCGGTTGCTGAATCTTTCTTGTCGTCCAGCACTGGTGCAGATTGTCCTTCTTCTTCTGAAAAATATTGTAAAATTACTTCCTATTCTGAAAAACATAGCAGCATGCAGCCTGATGGTATGCCATATTACGATCACTTTTCCCAAGAAGAAGATAAATTACTCAGAGATGATGCTGCCACGGATGAAAGGCCCCTTGAAATTTCCTTTCAGAGAAACCAGGTGCTTACTTTTTCAGTGTGTGGCTAGTAGTTTCTGATTCCATTTGAATATACATGATTTAATGTGAAAACTCCTTAGAGAAAAGAGCCTCCATCATAACCCTTTTCATCTTAGTTTCGCTTAGAGAAAAAATTATCAGTCTTCCCTTGTATAGAAATTCATAGGTGCATGATTGATCGTTGACACTCAGGTTAATTTTTTATATATATGATATCAAACGGAGAATCCATTCATATGTTCTTAACTTAGTTTTGATAAACCCAACGCTTTGTGTAGGATGTAGGAACTCCAACCAATTCTCTCTGATAGTAAAACTCATGGAAACTTAAAAATGGTTCATACAACAGACACACATCATTATCTGATAGTTTGAATTTTTGTGCTGATGAGATGCAATATGTCTTATATTAGTTGGAATCATGTACAAAGCCACAAAAGCAAGCTCCTCATAGACTTTGTGGGGTTGCCTGTGTAACTTCTAGCAACTCTGCTTCTAGAAGAGGCAAAAGAAGAATAAAATGGACCGACGATCTACACGAGCCATTTATGATGATTGTTAACAGTCTTGGTGGTCCAGAAAGTAAGTTAACTATTTTTTACACTTAAAAGTAAAAAACAACAAAGAAACCTCTTGTTACTTAATTTGTTCATTGTTAATCGCAGAGGCAAAACCTAAGGCTATACTAGATATGATGAAATCAGATTTGCTGTCCATTTCTCATGTTAAAAGTCACTTACAGGTAAAATCCAATTCCAGTGATCAATTTTGTTTCACCTAATTGTCTCACTAATGTTTCTAACATGTGCCTTGCAGAAGTGTAGGTCTACAATAAACATGCACAAAGCTTTGCAGGGTAAATTACTTCTGTCATTGCCATGGTGTTATATTACCGTAATGCATATACCTTCTGAAATTCCTCAAAACATCTTTCTTTTGAACTGTACCATTGGTAAGCTCAATTGGAGTGAAAAGAGAAAGGTGGAAATTAGAGAAATGTATTTGGACACATCTTAAGTCCGGATACATATCATTATGATTCCTCAATTTCTGCCTTCTGATATTTAAATATTTCTACCAAACACAACCAACCCTACAACATTTTTTGTTGGCTTCTATGAATTATAATTTCATTGCTATTGGGGTATACCTTACAGTTACCACTTTGCCTTTCAGAAAAATCCGAGGAAGGACAGAGAATGGATGGGGTGGCTGAGCTTCAAGTGAAAATGTAGCATTACTTAAACTACAACAATCTACACTTTTGTGTTGTTATGATACCTTTTTTTATATGCAGTAATAGCAAGAGATCTTTCAACTAAAATATCAAACAGTTAACCTGCTTTCTCAACTCTGCAGCCACATGCAAATTGAGGAATCAAGGCAACTGCAACTAGAGGTTCGGAGGAATATCTGCCAACAACTAGAGGTAATACATAGAATTTCTTTGATAAAAATATCTACTGACACATGAATGAATTTTTTTATGAAACTCGAGCATTTGGATGACTTACCCTTTACTATCTTGTGCTTGTTTCCTAGATGCAACGAAATCTCCAAATGCTAATTCAACAGCAGAGCCAGCAACTCAAAGTAATGTTTGATTACCAAAAGAAAAAACCCAAACTGGACACAGAACTCGAAGCAACTGTCCCCTAATCATGGTTCAATTGTTTTGATAAGATACTTTATTTTTGCTGCCTTTGGTCTTGCAATAGACAATCAAACATGTAAGTGTGAGAAACGTGTTCTTGGCAGCAACTTCAAAACGTAAACATGTCTATGTGCATCTTGTTCTGCATTCCCACACAAATCTCACATCATTCTTCGTTCACACATAAAGAGAAAAACTGAAAACACTTTCACTAAGTGAGGGTCGTATATAAATACTTTTGACAATTCTTTTTATTGTATGGTTTATTTATGATTAATTATCTTTTTTCTTTACATTAACTATAAGATTAATTTAAAATATATAAATTAATGTAAATATGATCTTTCTATAGGATTGTTTTAAACTTACAGTTCACTTAACAAATTCAGATTTTATATAATTGATTTAAACTTAAAAACCACTTAACAAATATCTATAATCATGATGGTATTGAACAATTACTTCTTTAGTTTAAATTGCACTAAATACAACAATCCTTTACATTATGTATGAAAAAACAACTTTAAAACAATTCTAAAAAATCGAAATATTTAGTAATTGAATTATTTGCAATTGAATTATATTCATTTCTTAAATAATTAGTTTGGATGGTGTAATTGAAATATCTTAGATTTCAATTTTGTTGTTTGAATAACATAATTTAATTTCTATTTTACGGAGAACTCAACTTCACCTTTGAGTCTAACTTAACTTAGTTCGACCTTTAATTTAATACGACTTATTTTAACTTTTAGTTCAAGTCAACTTGAGCTAATTCGACATCAGTTTGACTGATTAAAATATATTCAACCTTAGCTGATTTGACTCAATTTGATTCAAGTTGACTCGACTTAACCTTCAATTAAAATAGATTGATTTGAACTTTATTTGACCCTTATTCCCCTTTTGGCTAAGCATAAATGTCTTTGTGACCTGATCACGTCAAATTTCACCAAAGTATTATTTGAAAAACAATCACTCTTTATTAAAGCCAAATATTACAATTTGGAATACAACCACTCTTGATTGAGATTAAGTGTTTTTTGAACATAATCATTCTTGACACCAAGTGCTCTTTGGAATACTCACTCCTTGTTAAATACTAAATATTATTTGGAACACAATTATTATTGACTAAACAGTACAAAAAAAATGCTAAATTGCCCAATCACATTTTAAGAAAGAAAAAATTTATCTATAAAATAAAATTTACTAAGGAATTTTACTAAATGATTTTAGAATTTTAACTAATAACAAAAATATCTTTCAATAATGGATCCAATGGTAAAATATGTCAATATATATTTTTTATTATCAACAAAAACATTGAATTGATGATCTATCAATAAATTTATTAGTAAAATCCACTTTGAGTTTATATTATCGACGAATATTTTTATCAATAAATTTTGTTGATAAAATGAGTGTCAAAGTTTCCATTTTGAACTTTGAGTATTTTGTGGTAAAATCTATTAATAAATTTATCGATAATTTTTTTAAATGTGTAGTAGGTAAATTGTTGATAATTAATTTTTTTAAAATTCTTTGATAAATATGTTTGTAATTAATTATTTAAAAAATTTGTCGGTAATTGAATTTTTTAAAAATTTGTTAGTAATTAAAGTTCTTTTAAAATTCTTCAATAAATACGTTGGTAAAATAGGTGAAATTTTTTTCACCAAATATGATAATATTTGTTATAAATTAATTATACATAAGTTAAAAAAAAGAATAGAACAAGGAAAAAAGAAAAGACGAATGAGGCTGAAGAGGTAGTGAAAAAGAAAGACAATGAAATAAAGGAGGAGAATGGCAACAACAACAACGAAGCCAAAGAAATAGTTAAAGGAGGAGAAGTTGATGACAATGTTAGCAAAAGAGAAGAAGAAGGAGAAGGAAAAAAAAATCAAATCACAACAGTTACCAATAGATAATTACAAAAAAAAATATATATTGTTAGTAAATTATAAACAATTTTTTCTTATCATTGGAAAAATTTATTAACATGCACTTTAAAAACAGATTTTTACTCTTAATAATTTTAATTTATCGTTAAATTTTGACCATTGGTTAATTTTTTCTAATGAAACACAAAAGTTTACATAAAAATTAATTTAAAAGATCACAATGTCTCATAAAAAAAGTTATGCACTTTTCTAGATAGTTATGAAACACAAAAAGTGTTATTTTACACAAATGAAAGAATTATTTAAGATTACGCAAATTTGTTTTCGTCATTGTTTCAATAGTTTCATCAACTTTGTTTCTAAAAAAAAAAAGTCTTCTTTATATAGAGTTTGAAGAAAAGAGCAATGTAAATCCTTTGAAGGTGTTGTAAAACAAATTGGAAGTCCTCTTCTGCTTCTTATAATGTTAAGAAATATCTATAGTTTCTCAATGTATTTTTGAAAATTATGTACATATAATTATGTATAAAAGTAGATTTACTTTTATATTGTTGAGTAACTTTCAAAGTTTTAAGAAATTTTTATAATTCAAAATTTAAATAAAATAAAAAATGTCTTGTAAAATTAAAGAGTAAGTAAGTTTTTTGTTCAAGGATGATAATAAATGGAAGTAATATATAAATTGAGAAAGATAAATAGTATAAATATTGACACATTTTGTTTTTAGTATAAAAGAAATTATAATCTTAATATAATTATTTAATTTTGTTTCAATTGATTAAGAAAATTAAACATCGTATTTGATATTTAATAATTGTTAAATATATTTATTAAAAATAATATGCTTAATGGATAATTATTAAAGATAAAATATATGTTGAATTATCTCAATTATTAATTATTAACTGGTTCAAACAAAATTAATAAAATTATAATTTTTATATATAGATATAAATTTTGTATTGTAGTAAAGGTAGATGTGTCTCTACACTTAAAAATCTGTAAGAGCAAATTATATTTTTTTGTTAAAAAAATGACAAAATAATTTGATTATACATAGAAAGTATATTACAAATTTATTTACGGTGAGGCTGGGCCGAACACGGGCCTTAGAGTTTCTTGCAAGATAAGCCCGTACTGCATATAAACCAGAAGCCCATGGTGCATGTATAAGAGAGGCCCAATTAAAGACCTAATGCATTGGGTTCGGAGGTGTTGAGTGGAAGAAGGTGGAGAAGAAGACATGGAAGATTTGAAGAAGAGAAAACTGGACGAAGCAGGAAACGGTGATTTTGCCTCCAAGGAAGAACTTCGCTTCCTCATTGAACCTCTTGCTAAACCCCAGCTTGTTGATCTTCTAGCTAAATTGTGCGTTTCATATTCTCAATTCCACTGCTTTCCTTCTTCAACTTCTTCTTTCTTTTTCCGTCATCCTCTCCGAGCAATCAGTTTCCCCATGCTTTTTTGCTATCTTTTTTCGCATTCATCCGTTGGTATTGCAGTTCTTTCATTGAATTGTGTATTTTAATTTTGAATTGGCTCGTGTGGAACTTGTATCTTGTAGTAGTGTCCTTTGGGGACTGTAATATATAGTTTTTTAACCTTGTTGGATTTGTGAGTATGTGGTAAAGTTTGGAATTGCAGGATTTGGCCTTAAAATTGTTGAAGCATGGGTCTTTAGGAATTAGCATTTTTTTTTCACTGTTTCACCATTGACACGGTCCTCGGAATAATTTCAAACTTAATTTTTGTCCCTTTTTCTAAGTACAGATTGAAATATGGACAACCATAACAATTTCCTCCTTCTTGCATTCCATTAAGCTGTCTCACCCCCATTGCCAGCTGTTTCTTCTTGTGGGGATGAAAGGTGGTGTTATAATCTAGGCTGTAGTTAATGACTTAGTGCTGACCCAGACCCAGTGCACTTTGTTGTCACAGTTCTAGAAGGGTGACCCATCACATAGTGGGATTGGGGGAGGAAAGAAGTATATGACATTATCCTTGCAAGGGGAGAGATTGTTTGTGGATTTGAACCTTATGTGTCTAGGACACAAGGCAGTGTCCTTACTAGTTACTGGTGTGCCAAGGCTTGTCATCTCAGGGCATCATGGTTGTTAATTGACAAATTTAGCATTATTATAATTATGACTAGATGAAACAAAAATCGACCATTTGTACCTAAAACATTAAAATAAAATCAATAAATGCTTGGTGAAAATAATTTTTTCTACTTTGAGGCAGGTATTAATTTTCTGCCTCAGTTTTTCGGAACAGAATCCTTTTTTGGGCATTGCTTTACATTTGTGTGTATACAATGTGCAGTTGTCATCTTTGAATTGTTGGTACCTTCTGCTTGCTTGGTGTGCTTTGCATAAAAAGGGGCCAAAAGAAATTGCTCCCACTTGTATGCTGTGTGATTGACCGTGTGCATGTGTGTTTGTTTTCATGTTGAGGCATAAAGAGGGTCCCAATATCCTTCAATTGCAGAAGAAATAAAAAGTATTGCAAGTGCTGATCCTGCCCATCGAAAGCTTTTTGTTCGTGGCTTGGCATGGAATACCAATTCAGAAACTTTGCGTGCTGTGAGTGCATTGGTGATTGTGTTTAGTGTGTCATGCATGTGATTGCTTCCATGTCACATGGAATCTGCCCAACAAAATTTATTTTCTAGAGCTCCAAATTTTTGTCCCTGTATTTCCCACCCTGTACCATGTCTCTGGCTCAAGCCTTGAGAGCTAAAAAAAATGAAAAATTCTTTCTTCTCTGTATGTTGCCTCTTATACATTGCTTATTTTTCCAGGCATTTGAAGAGCATGGAGAAATTGAGGAAGGAGCTGTGATCTATGATAAGGTAACAGGGAAGACCCGTGGCTATGGATTTATTACTTTCAAAAATATGGAATCAACTCAGCAAGCATTGAGAGCTTCTAGCAAGTTAATTGATGTAAGCTTTGCCGCATTTTATTGCTTTGGATTTTTATCTCTTATATACATGAATCTGCAGTTTTGCTTTAGCAACATCATGGTATCTGAGTTTGCCTCTTTGAATCTCTTAACTTGCCTATCCCAATACACCCAAACTATGAAATGTATCAGGAAGATTATTTTGTATGTGGTTCTTTGTTGAGGGAGCTTATTTTCTGGTAGCAAACAACCTGTAATCAGGGTTTGTGCACTTTTCTCAATACTTCTCATGTTGAAGAATCCAATTTACGTTTACCTACCTTGTACTGTTGAGAAACATTCGGGCCTAGTGACATTTCTTAAACCTTAGGGCCTAAGGTCGAAAATACACAGGAAGGTTATTTGTGATTTGTATTTTCTTTATTCTTATAGATTTTAGTAGTTTAGTTGTGTAGGTGCTGTCCTTCCTAAACCCCCAAAAAATGAAAAACTATTAATATGTGTGAAACTGTCTGCAGCTGTCATTCCGACATTTCCCTGATTGATTGTAGAAATTTGTGTTTTCAGGGAAGATTGGCTGTCTGTAATCTAGCCTGTGAGGGTCTAAGTGGAACAAGTAGTGCTCCTGATGTTTCCCTGAGGAAGCTTTATATAGGAAGCTTATCACCAGAAGTCACAAGTGAACTGCTGCTCAACTATTTTGCGAGGCATGGTGAAATAGAAGAAGGTTCAGTTGCATACGACAGGGATACAAATGAATCACGGTAAAAGTAGCAACATGTATTACTTGGATACAAACTTTATAGTCTTTTTAATTTCCATGAGAGAAGCTCGATTGCCTGAGAAAGATAGTTGTTAATTTGTTACCCCAGCCCACTTAAGTATGTATTCATGTATTCACTGGTGGAGAGCATCCAGTGTTGCTTTTGAAAAAATCTATTTGTGCTCACTTTAGTAGCTCAGAAACGGGTTGTCAGGAATGGCTTTGATTATTTTTCTTTTAAAGAAAATGGTTTATATAGAGCAACGGTCATATATAGAGCTCTGTCTATATATTTGCAACAGTCACATAGGGAAAAACTATATGTTAATTGTATGTTCTCTGAAATTATCAATTTCATATATCTATATTTGTACCGATTTGTTCTGTCGAAGTCTCAATTTGAAGTTCCAAAATTTTGTTCTCTGAATTATCAACTTCAAAAAATCATGTTTAACAACCTATTTCATCTATGTATCGGTAATTCTCTGAGTTGTTTTCTTACTGTAACGTGTTATTATTGTTTTATTTCCAACTGTAGTGGCTTTGGCTTTGTCACGTACAAGACAGCAGAAGCTGCCAAGAAGGCCATAGATGATCTTGAAAAGACTCTTGGGGTAAGCAAACGCTTCATATTTTATATCAAGTCCGAGGTTAGCTGTTAGAGTGGGACCTGTTTATTTCTGTGCTTAAAAATGTCTTGGATGTGACAATAAGAAATGGAAGATCATTGAAAAAGGCAGCTTAATTATACGGTAAAGAAAAAGTAATAAAATATGGTGATTTACACACTTTTAGGCTGCATATTAGACTATAGGGTTAAATAATTTTTTTATATTTCGAAATTTACCCCTATTGAAATTGGTTTCTCTTAAAATATTTTGGTGTTTTTGATTCTCAACCTTTAATAAATATGTTCTCAGGTCTTGATAGTAACTATGTTACTCTTAAACTAAGAATGTTGATATTTGCAAGGATGATAGCATCTGACACTAGAAAATTAGTACGTCTATATTATTAATTTACAAGTAACAGAATGAATAACTTTTAGGATCAAATTAACATATTTATTAGATATTGGTAGTCAGAAACACAGATTTTGGGGATACCAAAATTTATTCAACCTACATCTGAATTTGTTTTTATGTTTAACCCTACTTATGACTAAAATACAAACCCCTACCATGTAGTATATTGGAAGGAGATTCTTTTCCTAATTGGTAATTATCTAACTAGACAATAAACTAGCATGATCAATAACAATCTCATGTGTTTTGATTGCAGGCAGTTGTTATTTTTTTTAATGGAAATTGCAATTCATATTGAAGCTGTATAAATTTTGGAAGTTATGACATGTTACTTGTTTTGATTGCAGGGAAGGAATATAATTGTAAAATATGCTGATTCCAACAAAGGAAAAACTGGGCAGCCGCCATTTCCCTCTGGAGTGGTTCCAATGGCTGGCTTACCTATGACCACAGGCTATATGCAGCCTGGTAAAGCTCATGTAAGCTCTGGCCACCCTATAAATTACAATTACCCCCAAACTGTTGTACCGTATTCCGCATCTCCTTATCCAAACCCTCACACTGTACCTTCTCCTTATCCAACACAAGGGCAGATTCCTTACCCTCCTCTTTCTGCAAAGAAAGACCAACATGGGTTTCCGCCTATCCAACCTGTAGGAATGAACAACTACCCTTATTACTATCCCAAGCAATGAATGCATTTAACTGAATCTGATGATTTTGACACTCCCTCTCTTTGCTTTTCTTTTCGAATCATTTTAGCTATTAGTTACCTCTCATATCATAAGTCATCACATCACCTGTTAATGAACCTCTGCATCCTCTCTTTACAGCTTTTCATCTAGTTGATTTTTGGCATTCTTATTTATTACCTGTAATATTGATTAGAAATTTTTTATATGTATTTTTTTTTTCTGAATATCTTGAACGGGAGCAACATTTTTTTTGTTTTTGCATTTAAGTTACCTTTGAATTTGCTACTCTTGAGTGTGGTGTATTTAGCCTCGCTGGACGGCTTACATTTATAAAATTTTCACCCCTTCCCCTGTTTGACATTTGTTCATGAATCACACCACATGGTCGCTGTTGCAGGGATGTCCATCAGGTGGCTCCTACTACGCAGAATCCATTCCCATTCCTTGTTGTTTTTGAACTTCAATGAAAATATTCAGACACGGAAGATAGAAAATAGACTTGGAAAATTGTGTAGTAAAAAATTAAAATTTTAAAAATACTATAGTGACAAATCCTGAATGGAAAGAAATGAAAAAATACAACTCTTTCGTCTTTTCTTTCAATCGAACCGAAAAGAAAAGTGTCGTAAAACTGACAGATTTCTGATTCTGATATTTTCATTTGTAAATTATGATTAGGAGAGCTACACATGAGCACATAACAGAAAATTAAGTAAAATATATGAATGTTTGTATTAAGGAAAAAGATAAATGGTTTTATTTATAACAAAAATATAAAATAATGTTTATAAAATAATCAAATTAATCTTATTATTATCATTATATTTAATTTTAATGATAATAATAATTTTATGAGAACATATTTTGTTGTGGATATTGGAAAAAAGAAATAAAAGTAACATTTAGTTGGGTTTTTTTTTTTCTCTCAAAATTGTTGGAATGTGAAAATCATCCTTATCTAGTGTTACAAACGTGGGAACAAACAAAGGCTTAGATATTAGGATCTTTAATAAATTTGCTTTTTGGTATTAAGTATGTGATCCTCGTCTTGGCCATTACACTATATCTGAATATTCGCGTTGAATTGGCCATTGGACATCATCTTACTATAGCAGTAGTTGTATTGAATAAACTAGTAAGATAGGTATTACAATTTGGTGTTTTCTTTGGAGAAATTATCCATTGAACTCAAGGCACAACATGACTTCGTAAAAATACCTTTTAAATAATTTAGACACAAAAATAATATCACGTCATGTTGATAAAATATTTAAGGTTTAATACATCGTTTGATCCCTACTTTTAGAGGTTTGGTTCAAAGTGATCCTACTTTCATATTTCATTAAAAACATGGCCAAACATCAGTTAGCTATGTAGTTTGATGAATACCGTGGTTGAAAGAATTAAATGGAGATAGAGAAACAAAAATGACTATTTGAATAATTAAATGCAAAAAGAGAAACATAAATGATTTTTAATGGTTGAAGAGAGATATTGATGTATTGATTAGAGAGAGAATATTTCTCTGGACATTACCTAACAATGCACCAGTTTTATACACCCACCTCCAGATTCCACCCTATATCACCTATATACTATTCCACTCAATAATGATATAATTTTCGAAACCCATAAAACTAGATATTTCACTGTTAGGACAACATCAATATAATTAAAACAAAGAATCCTTGTTTATTAACAACAAAACCGTGACCATTAGATAACCTTTGCACCTCTCTCATCAATCTTTATATCTTCAAAAAAAATCTCTTTTAGCTTCCCTAGACCTATTTTATAGACCCAAAATTTAAAATCTGCACAACGAAAACCTTAGCCTATAATCTTTCACCATTCTTATAATACACCCATGCAACCCCAAAATATCATTTGCGTACTTTACCTATCAACAAGGGACATAGCAGCACATGCACAACGACAATTTCATGCGCTTGGTATTAACCATATTATGATTTCCCTCCCAAGGTAGGTACCACGAAAACCATTAAATCTCTGGATTCCAACGTCTACACTATACAGGACTAAAATAAAATATTTCTCTTCATCTTACCTTGGCCCCCACATGCATTGAAACTCTTTACTTGCAAGAAGAAAACATGCACTCATACCATTATGTGTACATTACTCAACATTTATACAACTTCCATACATTTAATACCCATCAAACATTCCATGCAATTACAAAATAATAATTTATTATACCCACAAACCCATGTTGGTATCCCTATTCAGACCCCCACATGCATTGAAACTCTTCACTTGCAAAAAGAAAACGTGCACTCGTACCATTATGTGATGACAGTACATTACTCAACATTTATACCACTTCCATAAATTTAATACCCATCAAACATTCCATGCAATTACAAAATAATAATTTATTATACCCATAAACCCATGTTGGTATCTCTATTCAGAACATAACCCATCACCAATGCACTTTATTGTCATATTTCACTCATACAACACGTTAAAACTTTCTACTCTTATTTACATTCTTAACCTAGCTAACCCACGGCTGTCCTCCAAAGTTTCACGATATGCATTTATCCCTTACTACAAACCACATGCACTGTAATCCTTCAACCCGTGCATTCATATTTTGGGAATAACATCCTAAACCATTTTTTTCCTTAGCAACCCACAACCTTCTAATTGGGTATACTATTTATCCACATTGTTTCTCAATATTAACAAGTTTCAAAGGAAACACATCATGCTCAATCAATACATCAAAAAGTTAACTCCCCTTACCTGGGTTTTCCAGTGAATTCTTTAAAGGCCCCTTGGTTCCTAGAAAATCCTGTGACTGCAACAAGGACCCCTGCACAACTCCTTGGTACTCCGAGTCTTCTCTCTATTACTCATTATGCTTATGGTGGAGGACAAAAAGTGGTGGTTTCTTCTCTCTTCCGCACTCTCTCGAGTTGTTATGGAAAGTAACTTAAGGTTGCTTCTTATTTCGCACACAAGTTGTCGGAGGCCGCGCGTTCTTCCTCCTTCGCTGTCGTTGTCGTTGAGGATAACCAGCTAGTGGCTCCCCCGCACCTCTGGGTCTCGTCGGATTCCCTCTAGTACCCACCGGGATATGCCGGTGCGGTTCCCCACCGGTCTCGGTCCGACAGTGGTGGCTGTTGGGATTTGCACCTAACTTACGCCATTTTAATTATTTTAAAATATTTACACAATGCAACCTCTTCAAACGTGTCACATATTCATTAAAATGCACAACTCACTCAGGTTTGGCAACGGTGGCATTTACATCATTAGGTTTTTTACAGCATGAGCGAAAAGGACCGGATTGAACATTTTTTTACGAAATATGATGTTTTACTGAACTTTTTTAAAAAGTAGGATCATTTTGAACCAAACCCTAAAAGTAGGGACCAAATAATGTATTAAACCAATATTTAAATAACAAAGAAATCAATTAATAAATATATTTTTTTTGAATTTATATTAGTACCATGAAAACAAGAGTGATAAAGTGGTGTGAATTTTTTACAAGAAATTGAGGGTTGTAAAAATATTTAGGTTTAATGTCTCCTTAAGTCCCTATTTTCGTTCAGAATTTCAAATAGGTCTTTTTCTTGTTCGACGTCTCAATTGGATCCTTATTTTTGTAAAATTGAAACAAATAAAGACCTTCCATCAAATTAGACAAACGACGTTTAAAATGATGTTATGTGGCATGCTGAGGGTATTGTTTTAGATGACGTGGCGATTTATACATAATTGTGACCTATATTTTATAATTTCTATAATTTCTAAATTAAAAAATTGAGGGCAAATTAGGAAAAAGAAATTAATGGCAGCCCCTTTGCCTCTCCTGCAACTGAGGAATGCGAAATTAGGGTTCCTGAAAAAAAAAAGCAGTGGTTTCGTGGCAGCCCTTTCTCTGCAATTGAAATCTTTGGAAAATTGGTAATGGTTTTTCCTTTCTTCTTTGGTTTTTGAAATTTTCTTTTCACTTTCCATTTTCCCTTTGCCCATTTTGATGTTTGCTTCTGTGAAGAGATTTATTCTTATACGTTGCGTCGTGGGTTCTTCGCTTGTTCGCAGTTGTATCATAGGTTTTGATGTCGGCTTTCATGGTGTCCACGAACCCAGGGGCGCGTCGGAGGTCGGTGCTCGCTGCCGAGAGGAAAACCGCCACCAACATAGAGCTCCTCGCCAACGACATCGCCGCCTCCCCCGCAGTCGCGACTTCTGGCGAAGGTGCCATGGGCGACGGGCACGACCTTAGCCACCACGAACCCTAATACGAAGCTCCATGAGCGTCGGACACTCATTTTTGTTCGATTGGATATTGGTGTTTGTTTACACACCTTTTGCAATACCGATATTTTTTTCTTTATTTTTTTTTTCGTTTCGTTTTGTAAGTTTGGTTTCGATGGAAGAATTTTATACGATCTCTGATTTTGTATCGCTGAATGATCGTGTATGCTATTTTGGAAATTAGCATGATTGTTTAACTGTTCGCAGATTGTTGTTACCGTGTGGTAACAGTGATCTAGGCATGATTTGGGGCTTTTGATAATGAATCGATTTTCTGATATTTTGGCATCAACTAGAAATTTGCAATAAGGAACAGGTTTTCTTCCGGTTGAGGACTTTGATTGTACAAAAATGAGAGTGCCCGACGCCCATGTGCCCAAGTGGGTGGAATGTTCTTATGAAGTAGTATGAGAGTTTGCAGGCAAAAGAGCCATCTGAGCTGAGCAGCCTGTGCAATCTACCTAGACATAACTAGAAGTAGAAGTTTAGCATGAATGATTCCATTTGAGAGTGTTAAAAACATAGTTCTGAAAGTTCTAATTTTTGTGTCTGGTCTTCCAGTTTCATGATGAAAATATAATCAATGTTAACATATTGAAAGGAGCTGCCTTTAACTTTAGAGAAAGAAGCCGTTTTTTATTTCTTTTTCCAAATTTACCCTCAATCTTTTAATTCAGAAATTACAAAATACACATCATAATTATGTATAAACTGCCACATCATTATTCTCAGCATGTCACATAACACCAATTTAAACACTGTATATCTAATTTAAGGGAAGATTTTTATTTTTTTTAATTTTACAAAAATAAAGATCCAATTAAAACGTCAAACAAAAAAGGATCTATTTGAAATTCTGAAGTGATTTAAGGAAATATTA